TCTACATCCGATTTTGCAATTTCCGTTTTTTTGACTTTCCGATTTTTTGCTGCGATGAATTTTCAATTTCCGACTACTCGAATTTTCAAATTTTTTACTTTCCGACTTTTCATTTCAGGATTTTTTAATTTTTCGACTTTCTATTTTTCGAACATTCGATTTTTTCATTTGTTAAATATTTGGTTCGAATTTTCGGTTTTTCACTTTTCAATCTTTCGATTTCTCAATTTATTGATATTTCATTTTCCAATTCGCCGATTTACGATTTTTCGAATTTCCAGTTTTCGACAACTCGGATTTTTTTGACTTTCCGATTTTCCGAATTTTCGGTTTTTCGATATTTCGAACTTCAATTTTCGGACAATCGATTTCTCAAATTTTCAATTTTTTGAATTTGTTTTTCGACTTTTCGATTTTCGGTTTTTCAATTCTTCGTTTTCTCAATTTTTGAAAATCTCTATTTTCGATTTTTCCTCTTTTCGACAGTTCGGGGTTTTTGACTTTCCGATTTTCTGAATTTTCGGTTTTTCGATTATTCTAATTCTCGATTTTTGGATTTTTTGAATTTGTTTTACGATTCTTCGTTTTTTCAATTTTTGAAAATCTCTATTTTCGAGTTTTCGATTTTTCATTTTACCAATTTTCGATTTTTCAATTTTTCCATTCTACAAGTTTTAGACTGTACAATTTTTAGTTTTCGACTATTCGAATTTTCAAGCTTTTTATTTTCCGACTTTTGATTTCAGGATTTTTTAATTTTTCGAATGTTTTATTTTCGAATTTTTGGTTTTTAAGTTTTTTAATTTTTCGAATTCCGAATTTCCGTAGTTTCTATATTTTGAATTTTCGATTTTTGGATTTTTTGAATTTATTTTTCAACTTTTTCAATTTCCGTTTTTTAGACTTTTCGATTTTCGGTTTTCCTATTCTTCGTTTAGTCAAGTTTTCAAAATCTCGAGTTTTGAGTTTTCAATTTTTCATTTTTGAAATTTTCGGTGTTTCAAATTTTCCATTCCACAGTTTTTAGACTTTGCAATTTTTACATCTCGAATCTTCGAAATTCTGATCTTTCGCTTATTTATCGATTACTTTAATCATCACATTTTCATAATTTTAGATTTTTCAGTTTTTGACTTCGAATTTTTCTGTTTTTTGACATTCGAATTTTCAGCCGTTTTACTTACCAATTTTACGAGTTTTCAACTTTCCGAAATTTCGAATTTTCGATTTTTCAACTTTCAATTTTTTGGTTTTTCGAGTATTTGATTTATCGAATTGTCGAGTTAAATTTTTTGAATATTTGATTAATCCGAACGTTATGTTGTCGAATTTTCCACTATTCAAATTTCAATTTTTTCGATTTTTCGATTCTTCGTATACTCAATTTTCCAAAATCTCGCATTTCAAGTTTACGATTTTTCATTTTTCGATTTTTCAATATTTCCGATTCGAATTTTCAATTTTTTTTTTATTTTTTAATTTTTCGAATTTTCAATTTTCGAAATTCGAAACATCGCTTTTTGGATTGCTTGAATTTCTGCTTTTCAGATTTTCGACTTTTCGATTCGTTGTTTACTCATTTTTTCAAAATTTCGATTTTCAAATTTTAGATGTTGCATTTTTAGAAATTTTCGATTTTTCATTTTTAGCAATTTTCGATTTTTTAGTTTTTTCATTCTAGTTTTTTGACTTCAACTGTTACTTTTCGATTTTTCTCTGCGATTTTTAACATTTCGAATTTTCAATTGTAGATTTTGCGAGTTTTCGATATTTGAGTTTTCATTTTCCCGATTTTTGGAATTTTCGATCTTTCGAATTTAGAGTTCTCGATTTTTAAAAGTTGTTTTTTTTGATTTTGGCTTTTTCAATTTTTCAACTTTTCCATTCTATAGGGTTTGGACTTTTCAATTGCTCGTTTTCGAATTTTCCATTATCGATTTTTGCATTCTTCCATTTTTTAAACTTAATTTTTTTTCATTTTTCGATTTATTATTTTCGAGTATTCGAATTTTCGATTTTTCAAATTTCCTTTTTGAGGATTTTGGCTTTTTCGATTTTCCGTTGTTCGAAATCTCGAGTTTCGACTTTTCAATTTTTCATTTTCGAACTATCAATTTTTCTAATTTCGATTTTCCAACATCTCGAATTTTAGATCATTCCATGTATCAATTTTTAATTAATTTGCTGATTACCGATTTTTGAATATTTGATTTATCGAATTTTCGAGTTTTGCTTTTTCATATTTTCGAAGTTCAATTTTTTTGATATTTGATTAATCGAATGTTCTATTTGCGAATTTTCGGATTTTCGTTTTTTCAATTTTTCGAATTCCCGTCGTTTCATTTTCTCAATTTTTCAAAATCCCGACTTTCGAGTTTTACGATTTTTCAATTTTTCCATTCGGCAGTTTTTAGACTTTTCAATTTTTACTTTTTGATTTTTCTTTGCGATTTTTGAACTTCTCGGATTTTCGAATTTTGGATTTTTCACTTTCCGATTATTCGGTTTTCTACTTCCGATGTTCGAATTTTCGAATTCCGATTACTCGATTTTTGAATTTTTCGACTTTCCAATTTTCGATTTTCAATTTTTTTCAATAGTTGATTAATCGAATTTTCAATTTTCCGATATTCGAAATTCTCGAGTTTTAGATTTTTTGATTTTTCGATGTGTCTTTTCAATTCGCCGATTTTCGATTTTTCGAATTTTCAATTTTTGACAACTCGGATTTTTTTTACTCCGATTTTCCGAATTTTCGGTTTAACGACTGCCGAATTTTCATATTTTTGGTTTTCAATTTTTTGAATATTTGATTAATCGAATGTTCGGCTTTTTGATTTTTCAATTATTCGAATTCTCGATTTTGGAATTTTCGAATTTGTTTTTTCAGATTTTCGATTTTTCGGTTTTCCATTTTTCGTTTACTCAATTTTTAAAAATTTCGATTTTGTAATTTTTGAGTTTTCATTTTTCGAACTTTCCGTTTTTCAATTTTTCCATTCTACAGTTTTTAGATTTCAATTTTTTTTTATTTTTGATTTTTCCCTGATTTTTCAACATCTCGAATTTTTGAATTTTAGATTTTTTAATATTTCAGTTTTCAGTTTGGCCATTTTCGCTTTTTTTTTTAAATGTGTTTCAACATCGAATTTTCGATTGTTCCAATTTTCAATTACTATCAGAATTCTTCGATTTTCAGATTTTCATTTTCCGATTTTCCAATTTTTAAATACATAATTTGATTCATCGAATTTCGTTTTCTCGAATTTTAGATTTTTCGAATTTACCTTTTTTGGATTTTGGTTTTTCAATTTTTTTTTCCAATTTTTCCATTCTACAAGTTTTAGACTTTTAATTTTTTTTCATTTTTCGATTAATTATTTTCGAGTATTCGAATTTTCGATTTTTCAAATTTCCTTTTTGAGGATTTTGGCGTTTTTTTTGTTCGAAATCTCGAGTTTCGACTTTTCAATTTTTCATTTTCGAACTATCAATTTTTCTAATTTCGATTTTCCAACATCTAGAATTTTAGATCATTCGATGTATCAATTTTTAATTTGCTGATTAACGATTTTTTGAATAAGAATAAGAATAAGTTTATTGCACAACTACAGCAGCGTACAAAAAGTTAGAATTTTTTTGCATATCTGATTTATCGAATTTTCGAGTTTTGCTTTTTCATATTTTCGAAGTTGATTTTTTTTAATATTTGATTAATCGAATGTTCTATTTTCGAATTTTCGTTTTTTCAATTTCTTGAATTCCCGTTTCTTCATTTTCTCAATTTTCGAATTCCGATTACTCGATTTTTGAATTATTTGACTTCCAATTTTTTTTTTGAATTTTTTTAATAATTAATCGAATTTTCAATTTTCCAATATTCAAATTTCTCGAGTTTTCGTTTTTTCAATTCGCATATTTTCGATTTTTCCATTCAATTTTTGACGACTCGGGTTTTTTGAATTTTCGGTTTAATGACTTGATTTTTCGAATTCTCGATTTTAGATTTCTTGAATTTGTTTTTTTCCATTTTTGATTTTTCGAAAATCCGTTTTTTCGACGTTTCGGTTTTCCATCTTTCGTTTACTCAATTTTAAAAAATTTCGATTTCGTATTTTTTGAATTTTCATTTTTAAAACTTCCGATTTTTCAATTTTTCCATCCTACAGTTTTTAGACTTCTATTTTTTTTACTTTTCGATTTTTACGTGTAATTTATCAACATTTCGAATTTTTCAATTTTAGATTTTCCCAATTTTCAATAACCAAGTATCAGAATCCTTCGATTTTCAATTTTTAATTTTCTGATTTTCGATTTTTCCATTCTTCCATTTTTTAAACTTAATTTTTTCGATTTTTCAAATTTCCTTTTTGGGTTTTCAGACTTACCTTTATTCTACTTTTCAATTTATAGAGGTTTCACTTTTTCGAAATCTCAAGCTTCGAATTTTCGGAACGCAAAATTAAATTTCACAACTTTTCGAAGAAGCGGGATTAAAAGTTCCCTGGTCCTTGAAGTACAGTCCAATACATCAAGGACAAGAAAAGTTTTGTCGAAATAACTTCGACTAGGGATAGGGATTATTTAAATAACCAATCAAGTACATGTTACATTATAACGCAGTGACCAAAAAGTTTTCGGATTAAGATAGGCTGTGGAAAAATGTTTCCATTTCTCTGATTGGTTAAACCTTACGCGCCAAAAACCAAACTTGTCAAATTAAATTTCGAATAAGGTTATGTTGAATTTATTCTTGTACCCATTCCCAACCTTGCCAGAGGTATTTTATTTAACGCTGCTGCCAAGATCATGCTGCAAATGTCATAAATAAACCTGCAAATCAGAGTGCGCTGATGGTCCGTTATTGTTAGGGAGCGGAACACCCACGTACGCGTCAAAGTGCGGCTACTAAAAATAACGTTCCCGCTCCAATTACCCAACTTACCTTCTAACCTCAAATTTTTTTGTGTGTATGGTAAGGTAGAAAAAAAACACTGAAACACTTAAGCAATAGTGTCATTCAAAAATAGTCCATCCTTACAATAAATAAATAACAGTTTTAAAATACTCTTACACCACCCCCGTTCCATCCGGTTGAGTATATTAATACTAGATAAGATTTCAATAGTTTCAGCAACAGAGGTAACACGCAACAATTTACAATACAATAATGGTGCGGTAAACTATTTACATAATTACATTTAATTTAAAAATTATTCAGTGCCTTTAAAATCTATACCAACCTAAAATAAATTAACTGACACTAGAATAAATATTCTCTCTTGACCGTTTTCGAAATTTACAATGCCATCGCATCGTCCAACAGATGGGAGAGCTCTTTGAGGTGCTGAGCCTTGCTGCCGGTGGCGGGGCTGGCGGCGGTGGGTCTGCCAACGTAGCTGCAAAACAAACACTTCAAAATCGCCCCAACAGAAACAACAAAAAACACAACTAAATCGTTGGCTATTTACTTTCAGGCGGGGAGTGTTGTAGTGGCCACATCACTACATTTTTTTTAGTTAGTGGCAACAGAAAGCAACAAAAAGTGAAGATACGACTGCAGCTCTCACCTAACGACTCTAGTTTCTGCTAACGTTTCAGTCTCCGGTTTCGGTGGAGGTTTAGGTTCCTTGTTTGAAAACAACTTAGCGAACCAACCTCTACTCTCCTTCTCCGTACTGAAACAGTTCAACGAGCTAGAATCTTATCTTCACGCCGACTTTCTAACTAGGAGGGTCAGGGTCGCTACTTACACGACGTCTCGGGAGCCGGTCAGAGCCGTCTCGAATCTGGGCTGGACGTAAAACCAAGGACCTTGGTTCTTGTGCTCTTCTTGGGCCCACGAGAGCTGCGCGTTGGGGTACTTGGCACACTCGCTCTTGATCAAGTCGTACGGGAATGGAGAAATCTTCACAAGAAAAAATATATTTAAGGTCGCACTAAATTATACAACGTACCTGTTCGACACGCGTGATCGCAATATCGTTCTCCAACTTCCTATCCTCCCTCGCTTTCTTCAGATCATAGTAAACCTTCCCCGAGCAGAAAATCACCTTCTTCACGTTCTGCGGACTCTGGCTGGCCACGCTCGAATCCGGGATGATCCTCTGGAACTTTTTTTTTCAAATTTTCAGTTTTCGACAATTTGGATTTTTTTGACTTTTCGATTGTCCGATTTTTCGATTTTTCGATTCGTTTTTTGAATTTTTGAAAATCTCTATTTTCGAGTCGTCGATTTTTGATTTTTCAATTTTTCCATTCTACAGCTTGTAGACTTTCCAATTTTTAGTTTTCGATTTTAATTGAAATTAAAGTTTTTTTACTTCCCCATTTTTGATTTAGTTTTTAATTTTTCGAATTCTCAGTTTTCCACATTTCGTGATTTTTTGATTTTCCAAATTTTCGGTTTTTCTAGTATTTGATTTATCTGATGTTGGATATTTCGAATTTTTGGTTTTCCGAGTTTTCAACGTTTGGAATTTTCGATTTTTCGAGTTTCCAGTTTCCATTCTACAGCTTTGACTTGTCAATTTTTATTTTTGATTTTTCTGTACAATTTTTCAACATCTCGACATTTCGAATTCTGGATCTTTCGATAATTCAGTTTTCAGTTTGCCGATTTTCGATTTTTGTAACAATATATTCATCTAATTTTCGATTTTTCGAATTTTCAATTTCCAACTATTCGAATTTTTTGAATTTTCAATTTTTTTACTTTTCGATTTTCGATTTCAGGATTTTTTAATTTTTCGACTTTCGATCTTTTGATTTCTCGTATTGATGTTTCGTTTTCAAATTCATCGATTTTCGATTTTTCGATTTTGGATATTCCGAATTTCAATTTTCCGACATTTGCTTTTCCGAATTTTCAATTTTTTGACATTCGATTTGTGGATTTTTCGAATTCGTTTTTCGGCTTTTAAAATTTCCGTTTTTTCGACTTTTCGATTTTTCAGTATTTCCATTCTACAGCTTTTACACTTCAGTTTCTTTCAATTTTCGATTTTTTGCTGCGATGAATTTACTTTTTCGATTTTCGATTTTTCCATTTGTTAAATATTTGATTCATGGAATTTTCGATATTTCGAATTTTCGGTTTTTCGACTTTTCAATCTTTCGATTTCTCAAATTATTGATATATTTCATTTTCCAACTCGCCGATTTTCGATTTTTCGAATTTCCAGTTTTCGACAATTCGCATTTTTTGACTTTCCGATTTTCCGAATTTTCGGTTTTTCGACTTTTCGATTTTCGGTTTTTCAATTCCTCGTTTTCTCACTTTTTGAAAATCTCTTTTCGATTTTCCGAATTTTCAATTTTTGAGTATTTGATTTCTCGAATTTTTGATTTTTGATTTTTCATATGTCCGATGTTCAATTTTTCGAATTTCCAATTATTCGAATTCTCGATTTTGGATTTTTCGAATGTTTTTTCAGATTTTCGACTTTTCGAATTTTCGAGCTTTTGATTTCTCGATTTATTGATGTTTCATTTTCAAATTCACCGATTGTCATTTTTTCGAATTTCCAGTTTTCAACAATGTAGGTTTTTTGACGTTCCGATTTTCCGGTTTTTCTTTTTTCCGACTTTTGATATTTCGAATTTCAATTTTCCGACATTAGATTTTCCGAATTTTCAATTTTTCTACATCCGATTTTTGGATTTTTCGAATTTGTTTTTCGACTTTTGCAATTTCCGTTTTTTCGACTTTCCGATTTTTTGCTGCGATGAATTTTCAATTTCCGACTACTCGAATTTTCAAATTTTTTACTTTCCGACTTTTCATTTCAAGATTTTTTAATTTTTGACTTTCTGTTTTTCGAACATTCGATTTTTTCATTTGTTAAATATTTGGTTCGAATTTTCGGTTTTTCACTTTTCAATATTTCGATTTCTCAATTTATTGATATTTCATTTTCCAATTCGCCGATTTACGATTTTTCGAATTTCCAGTTTTCGACAACTCGGATTTTTTTGACTTTCCGATTTTCCGAATTTTCGGTTTTTCGATATTTCGAACTTCAATTTTCGGACAATCGATTTCTCAAATTTTCAATTTTTTGAATTTGTTTTTCGACTTTTCGATTTTCGGTTTTTCAATTCTTCGTTTTCTCAATTTTTGAAAATCTCTATTTTCGATTTTTCGAATTTCCTCTTTTCGACAGTTCGGGGTTTTTGACTTTCCGATTTTCTGAATTTTCGGTTTTTCGATTATTCTAATTCTCGATTTTTGGATTTTTTGAATTTGTTTTACGATTCTTCGTTTTTTCAATTTTTGAAAATCTCTATTTTCGAGTTTTCGATTTTTCATTTTACCAATTTTCGATTTTTCAATTTTTCCATTCTACAAGTTTTAGACTGTACAATTTTTAGTTTTCGACTATTCGAATTTTCAAGCTTTTTATTTTCCGACTTTTGATTTCAGGATTATTTAATTTTTCGAATGTTTTATTTTCGAATTTTTGGTTTTTAAGTTTTTTAATTTTTCGAATTCCGAATTTCCGTAGTTTCTATATTTTGAATTTTCGATTTTTGGATTTTTTGAATTCATTTTTCAACTTTTTCAATTTCCGTTTTTTAGACTTTTCGATTTTCGGTTTTCCTATTCTTCGTTTAGTCAAGTTTTCAAAATCTCGAGTTTTGAGTTTTCAATTTTTCATTTTTGAAATTTTCGGTGTTTCAAATTTTCCATTCCACAGTTTTTAGACTTTGCAATTTTTACATCTCGAATCTTCGAAATTCTGATCTTTCGCTTATTTATCGATTACTTTAATCATCACATTTTCACAATTTTAGATTTTTCAGTTTTTGACTTCGAATTTTTCTATTTTTTGACATTCGAATTTTCAGCCGTTTTACTTACCAATTTTACGAGTTTTCAACTTTCCGAAATTTCGAATTTTCGATTTTTCAACTTTCAATTTTTTGGTTTTTCGAGTATCTGATTTATCGAATTGTCGAGTTAAATTTTTTGAATATTTGATTAATCCGAACGTTATGTTGTCGAATTTTCCACTATTCAAATTTCAATTTTTTCGATTTTTCGATTCTTCGTATACTCAATTTTCCAAAATCTCGCATTTCAAGTTTACGATTTTTCATTTTTCGATTTTTCAATATTTCCGATTCGAATTTTCAATTTTTTTTTTATTTTTTAATTTTTCGAATTTTCAATTTTCGAAATTCGAAACATCGCTTTTTGGATTGCTTGAATTTCTGCTTTTCAGATTTTCGACTTTTCGATTCGTTGTTTACTCATTTTTTCAAAATTTCGATTTTCAAATTTTAGATGTTGCATTTTTAGAAATTTTCGATTTTTCATTTTTAGCAATTTTCGATTTTTTAGTTTTTTCATTCTAGTTTTTTGACTTCAACTGTTACTTTTCGATTTTTCTCTGCGATTTTTAACATTTCGAATTTTCAATTGTAGATTTTGCGAGTTTTCGATATTTGAGTTTTCATTTTCCCGATTTTTGGAATTTTCGATCTTTCGAATTTAGAGTTCTCGATTTTTAAAAGTTGTTTTTTTTGATTTTGGCTTTTTCAATTTTTCAACTTTTCCATTCTATAATAGGGTTTGGACTTTTCAATTGCTCGTTTTCGAATTTTCCATTATCGATTTTTGCATTCTTCCATTTTTTAAACTTAATTTTTTTTCATTTTTCGATTTATTATTTTCGAGTATTCGAATTTTCGATTTTTCAAATTTCCTTTTTGAGGATTTTGGCTTTTTCGATTTTCCGTTGTTCGAAATCTCGAGTTTCGACTTTTCAATTTTTCATTTTCGAACTATCAATTTTTCTAATTTCGATTTTCCAACATCTCGAATTTTAGATCATTCCATGTATCAATTTTTAATTAATTTGCTGATTACCGATTTTTGAATATTTGATTTATCGAATTTTCGAGTTTTGCTTTTTCATATTTTCGAAGTTCAATTTTTTTGATATTTGATTAATCGAATGTTCTATTGGCGAATTTTCGGATTTTCGTTTTTTCAATTTTTCGAATTCCCGTCGTTTCTTCATTTTCTCAATTTTTCAAAATCCCGACTTTCGAGTTTTACGATTTTTCAATTTTTCCATTCGGCAGTTTTTAGACTTTTCAATTTTTACTTTTTGATTTTTCTTTGCGATTTTTGAACTTCTCGGATTTTCGAATTTTGGATTTTTCACTTTCCGATTATTCGGTTTTCTACTTCCGATGTTCGAATTTTCGAATTCCGATTACTCGATTTTTGAATTTTTCGACTTTCCAATTTTCGATTTTCAATTTTTTTCAATAGTTGATTAATCGAATTTTCAATTTTCCGATATTCGAAATTCTCGAGTTTTAGATTTTTTGATTTTTCGATGTGTCTTTTCAATTCGCCGATTTTCGATTTTTCGAATTTTCAATTTTTGACAACTCGGATTTTTTTACTCCGATTTTCCGAATTTTCGGTTTAACGACTGCCGAATTTTCATATTTTTGGTTTTCAATTTTTTGAATATTTGATTAATCGAATGTTCGGTTTTTTGATTTTTCAATTATTCGAATTCTCGATTTTGGAATTTTCGAATTTGTTTTTTCAGATTTTCGATTTTTCGGTTTTCCATCTTTCGTTTACTCAATTTTTAAAAATTTCGATTTTGTAATTTTTGAGTTTTCATTTTTCGAACTTTCCGTTTTTCAATTTTTCCATTCTACAGTTTTTAGATTTCAATTTTTTTTTATTTTTGATTTTTCCCTGATTTTTCAACATCTCGAATTTTTGAATTTTAGATTTTTTAATATTTCAGTTTTCAGTTTGGCGATTTTCGCTTTTTTTTTAAATGTGTTTCAACATCGAATTTTCGATTGTTCCAATTTTCAATTACTATCAGAATTCTTCGATTTTCAGATTTTCATTTTCCGATTTTCCAATTTTTAAATACATAATTTGATTCATCGAATTTCGTTTTCTCGAATTTTAGATTTTTCGAATTTACCTTTTTTGGATTTTGGTTTTTCAATTTTTTTTTCCAATTTTTCCATTCTACAAGTTTTAGACTTTTAATTTTTTTTCATTTTTCGATTAATTATTTTCGAGTATTCGAATTTTCGATTTTTCAAATTTCCTTTTTGAGGATTTTGGCGTTTTTTTTGTTCGAAATCTCGAGTTTCGACTTTTCAATTTTTCATTTTCGAACTATCAATTTTTCTAATTTCGATTTTCCAACATCTAGAATTTTAGATCATTCGATGTATCAATTTTTAATTTGCTGAAAAACGATTTTTTGAATAAGAATAAGAATAAGAATAAGTTTATTGCACAACTACAGCAGCGTACAAAAAGTTAGAATTTTTTTGCATATCTGATTTATCGAATTTTCGAGTTTTGCTTTTTCATATTTTCGAAGTTGATTTTTTTTAATATTTGATTAATCGAATGTTCTATTTTCGAATTTTCGTTTTTTCAATTTCTTGAATTCCCGTTTCTTCATTTTCTCAATTTTTCAAAATCCCGATTTTCGAGTTTTACTATTTTTCAATTTTTCCATTCGGCAGCTTTTAGACTTTTCAATTTTTACTTTTTGATTTTTGTTTACGATTTTTGAACATCTCGAATTTTCGAATTTTAGATTTTTCGATAATTATATTTTTTGATTTTCGATATTTCAGTTTTCAGTTTGCCGAATTTTCGAATTCCGATTACTCGGTTTTTGAATTATTCGACTTTCCAATTTTCGATTTTCAATTTTTTTAATTATTAATAATAATTAATCGAATTTTCAATTTTCCGATATTCGAATTTTCGACGTGTCTTTTTTCAATTCGCGGATTTTCGATTTTTCGAATTTTCAATTTTTGACAACTCGGATTTTTTGAATTTTCGGTTTAATGACTCGATTTTTCGAATTTTCGGTTTTTTGAGTACTTATTTGACTTATCAAATTTTTGGCTTTTGATTTTTCATATTTTCGATTTTCAATTTTTTAAAAATTTGATTAATCCAATGTTCGCTTTTCGATTTTTCAATTATTCGAATTTTTGATTTCTCGAATTTGTTTTTTCAGATTGTCGTTTTTTCGAGTTTTCGGTTTTCCATCTTTCGTTTACTCAATTTTAAAAAAATTCGATTTTGAGTTTTCATTTTTAAAACTCGGTTTTTCAATTTTTCCATTCTACAGTTTTTAGATTTATATTTTTTTACTGTTCGATTTTTCCGTTATTTTTCAACATCTCGAATTTTTCAATTTTTCCATTCGGCAGCTTTTACACTTTTCAATTTTTACTTTTTGATTTTTGTTTACGATTTTTGAACATATCGGATTTTCGAATTTTAGATTTTTCCAGAATTATATTTTTTGATCTTCGATATTTCAGTTTTCAGTTTGCCGATTTTTGGACTATTATATTCATCGAATTTTCGAATTTTTAATTTTCGACTACTCAAATTTTTCGGATTTTCAGTTTATTTACTTTCCGATATTTCGGTTTTCTACTTTCGATGTTCGAATTTTCGAATTCCGATTACTCGACTTTTGAACTATTCGACTTTCCAATTTTCGATTTTCAATTTTTTTAAATATTAATAATTAATCGAATTTTCAATTTTCCGATATTTGAATTTTTCGAGTTTTCGATTTTTTGATGTCATTTTTCAATTCAGCGCTTTTCGATTTTTCGAATTTTCAATTTTTGACAACTCGGATTTTTTTAATTTTCGGTTTAATGACTTGATTTTTCGAATTCTCGTTCTTAGATTTCTTGAATTTGTTTTTTTACATTTTTGATTTTTCGAAAATCCGTTTTTTCGACGTTTCGGTTTTCCATCTTTCGTTTACTCAATTTTAAAAAATTTCGATTTCGTATTTTTTGAATTTTCATTTTTAAAACTTCCGATTTTTCAATTTTTCCATCCTACAGTTTTTAGACTTCTATTTTTTTTACTTTTCGATTTTTACGTGTAATTTATCAACATTTAGAATTTTTCAATTTTAGATTTTCCCAATTTTCAATAACTAAGTATCAGAATCCTTCGATTTTCAATTTTTAATTTTCTGATTTTCGATTTTTCCATTCTTCCATTTTTTAAACTTAATTTTTTCGATTTTTCAAATTTCCGTTTTGAGTTTTCAGACTCACCTTTATTCTACTTTTCAATTTCTAGAGGTTTCACTTTTTCGAAATCTCAAACTTGGAATTTTCGAAACGCAAAATTAAATTTCACAACTTTTCGAAGAAGCGAGATTAAAACTTTCCTGGTCCTTGAATACTTCAAGGACAAGGAAAGTTTTGTCGAAATAACTTTGACCAGGGATAGGGATTATTTAAATAACCAATCAAGAACATAGTACATTATAACGGAGTGACCAAAAAGTTTTTGGATTAGGATAGGCTGTGGAAAAATGTTCCCATTTCTCTGATTGGTTAAACCTTACACGCCAAAAACCAAACTTGTCAAATTAAATTTCGAATAAGGTTATGTTGAATTTATTCTTGTACCCATTTCCAACCTTGCCAGAGGTATTTTATTTAACGCTGCTGCCAAGATCATGCTGCAAATGTCATAAATAAACCTGCAAATCAGAGTGTGCTGATGGTCCGTTATTGTTAGGGAGCGGCACACCCACGTACGCGTCAAAGTGCGGCTACTAAAAATAACGTTCCCACTCCAATTACCCAACTTACCTTCCAACCTCAATTTTTTTTTGTGTGTATGGTAAGGTAGAAAAAAAACACTGGAACACTTAAGCAATAGTGTCATTCAAAAATAGTCCATCCTTACAATAAATAAATAACAGTTTTAAAATACTCTTACACCACCCCCGTTCCATCCGGTTGAGTATATTAATACTAGATAAGATTTCAATAGTTTCAGCAACAGAGGTAACACGCAACAATTTACAATACAATAATGGTGCGGTAAACTATTTACATAATTACATTTAATTTAAAAATTATTCAGTGCCTTTAAAATCTATACCAACCTAAAATAAATTAACTGACACTAGAATAAATATTCTCTCTTGACCGTTTTCGAAATTTACAATGCCATCGCATCGTCCAACAGATGGGAGAGCTCTTTGAGGTGCTGGGCCTTGCTGCCGGTGGCGGGGCTGGCGGCGGTGGGTCTGCCGACGTAGCTGCAAAATAAACACTTCAAAATCGCTCCCACAGAAACATCAAAAAACACAACTAAATCGGCTATTTACTTTCAGGCGGGGAGTGTTGTAGTGGCCACATCACTACATTTTTTTTAGTTAGTGGCAACAGAAAGCAACAAAAAGTGAAGATACGACTGCAGCTCTCACCTAACGACTCTAGTTTCTGCTAACGTTTCAGTCTCCGGTTTCGGTGGAGGTTTAGGTTCCTTGTTTGAAAACAACTTAGCGAACCAACCTCTACTCTCCTTCTCCGTACTGAAACAGTTCAACGAGCTAGAATCTTATCTTCACGCCGACTTTCTAACTAGGAGGGTCAGGGTCGCTACTTACACGACGTCTCGGGAGCCGGTCAGAGCTGTCTCGAATCTGGGCTGGACGTAAAACCAAGGTCCTTGGTTCTTGTGCTCTTCTTGGGCCCACGAGAGCTGCGCGTTGGGGTACTTGGCACACTCGCTCTTGATCAAGTCGTACGGGAATGGAGAAATCTTGACAAGAAAAAATATATTTAAAGTCGCACTAAATTAAACAAGAACGCACCTGTTCGACACGCGTGATCGCAATATCGTTCTCCAACTTCCTATCCTCCCTCGCTTTCTTCAGATCATAGTAAACCTTCCCCGAGCAGAAAATCACCTTCTTCACGTTCTGCGGACTCTGGCTCGCCACGCTCGAATCCGGGATGATCCTCTGGAACTCCGTGTTCTCGAGCATCTCGTCGAAGCTGCTCCTGGCTTCGGGATGACGCAACAAGCTCTTCGGGGTCATCAAAATCAACGGTTTGCGGAACGGCAACGCGATCTGTCTTCTCAAAATGTGGAACAGATTGCCGGGGGTGGTGCAGTTGGCTACGATCCAGTTGATGTCGTGGAGCTGGCGCACGGCGAATTCGTCACTCTCTGGTGGGAAGTAGTCGGGGTCGTCGGACGACATCTGCAGGAAACGCTCCAGACGCGCGCTGGAGTGCTCGGGACCCATGCCTTCGAGGCCGTGCGGCAGGAGCATGACGAGACCGCTTTGACGCACCCATTTGGCTTGACCTGAAGAGATGAACTGGTCGATGATGCACTGGGCCGTGTTGTTGAAGTCGCCGAATTGGGCTTCCCAGATGACGAGGGCGTTCGGGTTGGTCATCGAGTAGCCGAGCTCGAAGCCCAGTACTCCGAACTCGGAGAGGGAGCTGTTGCAGACGGTGTAGGGGGCTTGGTCGGGGTACAAGTTGCATAGGGGCCTGTCAATGAAAATTTCGTGTCATTTGAGGTAATTCGTCGGGTGAGAATTAGTTTGATCTGGAGACCAGCGCGCGCTCAAGCCAATGTCGACTCTAAGCGCTCCGCAATTTCTTTTTCATTTGTGAAAAAGTTGTTTATAAATTCTCAAAAATTCAGAGATGTAGATTTCGACGTGTCGATTTCAAAAATATAGCGTGGTTATGGTGACAGGGCTACATTTTCGAAATACTTGTTGTGACATTCGAAAGTTTCATTTTTTACTTCGCCGATTTTTAATTACTTAAATTTTCAGTTTTCGAGAATCCAGACTTTTTGACTTTCCGAATTTTCGGTTTTCCGAGTATTTGATTTATCAAAGTTTTTTCGATTTTTCAACAATTCGGATTTTTTGATTTTCTAATTTATTTTACTTTTCGAATTTCCGTTTCATCGACTTATCGGTTTTCGGTTTTTCGATTCTTCCTTTTTACATTTTAACAATTTTCGATTTTTACAATTTTTCCATTCTACAGCTTTTAGGCTTTTCAATTTTTAATTTTTCTGGGTCTTTTTTCAACATTTCGAATTTTCGAATTTTAGATCTTTCGATATTTCAGTTGGATTTTTTGACTTTCCGATTTTTGGACTTTTCGAATTTGTTTTTTGATTCTTCGTTTTCTGAATTTTTGAAAACCTCTATTTTCGAGTTGTCGATTTTTGATTTTTCGAATTTTTGATTTTTCAATTTTCCCATTCTACCGCTTGTGGACTTTTCAATTTTTAGTTTACGATTTTTCTATGCAATTTTTCAACATCTCGAATTTTCGATTTCTAGACTTCGAATTTTTACTTTCTGATTTTTGATTTATGAACTACTTAATTTTTCGAATTTTCAGTTTTCGACAATTCCAATTTTTGGACTTTACAATTTTCTGAATTTTCGATTTTTGGATTTTTCGATTCTTCGTTTTCTCAATTTTTGAAAAATCTATTTTCGAGTTTTAGATTTTTCAATTTTTCCATTCTACAGCTTTGACTTGTCAATTTTTAGTTTTTGACTTTTCTGTTCAATTTTTTAACATCTCGAATTTTCAAATTTTAGGTCTTCCGATAATTCAGTTTTCAGTTTGCCGATTTTCGATTTTTGGAACAATATATTCATCTAATTTTTGATTTCCAACTATTCCAATTTTTTGAATTTTCATTTTTTTTACTTTTCGATTTTTGATTTCAGGATTTTTTAATTTTTCGACTTTCGATCTCTTGATTTTTCGATTGATTTATTGATGTTTCATTTTCAAATTCACCGATTTTCGATTTTTCCAGTTTTCAAAATTTGGATTTTTTGACTTTCCGATTGTCCGGTTTTTAGATATTTCCAATTTGTTTTTCGACTTTTCTAATTTCAGTTTTTTAGACTTTTCGATTTTTCGACATTGTATTTTCCGAATTTTCAATTTTTCGACGTTCGATTTTTGGATTTTTCGAATTTGTTTTTCGGATTTTCCAATTTCCGTTTTTTCGACTTTTTTCAATATTTCCATTCTACAGCTTTTACACTTCAGTTTCTTTTGATTTTCGATTTTTTGCTGCGATGAATTTTCAATTTCCGAATTTTCAAATTTTTTACTTTCCGACTTTTGATTTCGGGATTTTTTAATTTTTTGACTTTAGATTTTTCGAACTTTCATTTTTTCCATTTGTTAAATATTTGATTCGTGGAATTTTCGGTTTTTCGACTGTTCAATCTTTCGATTTCTCAATTTATTGATATTGCCTTTTTCCAATTCGCCGATTTTTGATTTTTCGACTTCCGATATTTCGAATTTCAATTTTTGGACTTTTCGAATTTGTTTTTCGACTTTTCCAATTTCCGTTTTTTTTACTTTTCAATTTTCCGACATTAGATTTTCCGAATTTTCAATTTTTCGACATTCGATTTCTGGATTTTTCGAACGTTTTTCGACTTTTCCAATTTTTCCGTTTTTTCGACTTTTCGATTTTTCAATTTTTCCATTCTACAGCTTTTACACTTCAGTTTCTTTTAATTTTCGATTTTTTGGTGCGATGAATTTTCAATTTCCGAATTTTCAAATTTTTGACTTTCCCATTTTTTGATTTCGGGATTTTTTAATTTTTCGACTTTCGATTTTTCGAATTTCGGTTTTTCAACTTTTCAATCTTTCGATTTCTCAATTTATTGATATATTTCATTTTCCAATTCGCCGATTTTTGCATTTTTCGAATTTCCAGTTTTCGACAATTCGCATTTTTTGACTCCCCGATTTTCCGAATTTTCGGTTTTTCGACTTTTCAATTTTCGGTTTTTCAATTCTTCGTTTCCTGAATTTTTGAAAATCTCTTCGATTTTTGGAATTTTCAATTTTTGAGTATTTGATTTATCGAATTTTTGACTTTTGACTTTTCATTAGTTCGATGTTCCGTTTTTCGAATTTTCAATTATTCGAATTCTAGATTCTGGATTTTCCGAATTTGTTTTTTCAGATTTTCGATTTTTCGAATTTTCGATCTTTTGATTTCTCGATTTATTGATGTTTCATTTTCAAATTCACCGATTTTTGATTTTTCGAATTTCCAGTTTTAAACAATTTGGATTTTTTGACTTTCTGATTTTCCGGTTTTTCGACTTTCGACATTTCGAATTTCAATTTTCCGACATTTGATTTTTAGAATTTTCAATTTTTCGACATTCGATTTTTGTATTTTTCGAATTTGTTTTTCGACTTTTCCATTTTCCGTTTTTTAGACTTTTCGATTTTCCGACATTAGATTTTCCGAATTTTCAATTTTTCGACATTCGATTTTTGGATTTTTCGAATTTGTTTTTCGACTTTTCGATTTTTCAATTTTTCCATTTTACAGCTTTTACACTTCAGTTTCTTGTAATTTTCGATTTTTTGCTGCCATGAATTTTCAATTTCCGAGTACTCGAATTTTCATTTTTTTTACTTTCAGACTTTTGATTTCAGGATTTTTTAATTTTTCGACTTTCGATTTTTCGAATGTTTTATTTTTGAATTTTCAGTTTTTAGATTTTTCAATTTTTCGAATTTCGACCGTTTTTCGATATTTCAACATCTCCAATTTTCGATCTTTCGATTTCTCGGTTTTTCTATATTTTGAATTTCAATTTTCGGACATTCGATTTTTTAATTTTTTGAATTTGTTTTTCGACTTCTTCAATTTCCGTTTTTTCGACTTTTCGATTTTCGGTTTTTCGATTGTTCGTTTTCTCAATTTTTCAAGAAAATCTCCATTTTCGAGTTTTCGACTTTTGATTTTTCAAATTTTTCCATTCTACATTCAACATTTCAATTTTTCAACATCCCGAATTCTCGAATTTTAGATCTTTCCATTTTCGATTTTCGATTTTTGGAATATTATTTTCATCGAAGTTTCGGTTCCGACTATTTGAATTTTTCGAATTTTCAATTTTTTTACTTTCCGATTTTTGGTTTCTTGATTTTTAGTTTTTCGACTTTCGATTTGTTAAATATTTGATTCGTACAATTTTCGATTTCAAGATTTTTCGAATTTCCTTTCTTTGGATTTTGGTTTTTTCTATTTTCCGAAATGCCCACTTTCGACTTTTCGATTTTTCATTTTTCGAATCTTCAATTTTTATTGATTTTTCCATTCTTTAGTTTTTAAACTTTCCCATTTTTACTTTTAGAACTTCCGATTTTTTGTATTTTTTTTATTTTGGCATTTTCGAAATCTCAAGATTCAAATTTTCGATTTTTCAATTTTTTACTTTTCGATTTCTAAAGTTCTCGTTTTTTGATTTTCGAATTTTCATTTTCCGACTATTCGAATCTTTCGAATATTCAATTCTTTTACTTTCCGATTTTTGATTTCCGGATTTTTCAATTTTTCGGATTTTCAGTTTCGATTTTCGATATTTTGAATTTCCAATTTTTCGAGATTCGATTTTTGGAATTTTCGGCTTTCCGATTTTCCAATTTTTCGAATTTGTTTTCCGACTTTTCGAATTTCCGTTGTTTCGACTCTCCGGCTTTTCGATTTTTCGTTTTCTCAATTTTTGAGAATCTCCATTTTCGAGTTTTGGATTTTTCATTTCTCGAATTTTTGATTTTTCAATTTTTCCATTCTACAGCTTGTAGACTTATCAATTTTTTTGTGCAATTTTTCACCATCTCGAATTTTCGAGTTTTAGTTCTTTCCATTTTCGATTTTTGCAATATTATTTTCATCGAATTTTCGGTTCTGACTATTTGAATTTTTCGTATTTTCAATTTTTTTACTTTCCAATTTTTGATTTCTTAATTTTTAGTTTTTCGACTTTCGATTTGTTAAATATTTGATTCGTGCAATTTTCGATTTCAAGATTTTTCGAATTTCCTTTATTTGAATTTTGGTTTTTGTGATTTTTCGAAATGTGGAGTTTTGACTTTTCAATTTTTCATTTTTCGAATCTTCAATTATTATTGATTTTTCTAATCTTTAGTTTTTAAACTTTTTAATTTTTTTACTTTTCGAATTTCATATTTTTTGGATTTTTTTTATTTTGGCATTTTCGAAATCTCAAGTTTCGGATTTTTGATTTTTCAATTTTTTATTCTATACAGATTTTAGACTTTTCAGTTTTTTACTTTTCGATTTCTATAGTTCTCGTTTTTCGACTATGCGAAATCTTTCGAATATTCAATTTTTTTACTTTCCGATTTTTGATTTCCGGATTTTTTAATTTTTCGGATTTTCAGTTTCGATTTTTCGATATTTCAACATCTCGAATTTTCGACTTTCGATTTTTGGAATTTTCGGCTTTCCGTTTTTCAATTTTTCGAATTTGTTTTTCGAATTTTTGATTTTTCAATTTTTCCATTATACAGCTTGTAGACTTCAATTTTTCTGTGCAATTTTTCATCATCTCAAATTTTCGAGTTTTAGTTCTTTCGATTTTCGATTTCTAGAGATTTCGTATTTTTTTATTTTTCGGTATTCGACTTTTTGAATATTATTTTCATCGAATTTTCAATTTCGGGCTATTTGAATTTTTCGATTTTTCGAATTTCGAATTCTCCAAGTTTAGATTTCACGATTTTCGACCATCCTTTTCTTGAATTTTGGCTTTTTCGATTTTTCGAAATCTCCAGTTTCGACTTTTCGGTTTTTCATTTTTCGAAGATTCGATTTTTCAATTTTTCCATCCTACAGGTATTAGACAATTTTTATTTTTCGATTTTTCTCTGCAATTTTTCAACATCCCAAATTCTCGATTTTTTTTTATTTTTCGATATTTCAGTTTTCAGTTTGTCGATTTTCGATTTTTGGAATATTATTTTATTAATCGAATTTTCAGTTCCGACTATTTGAATTTTTGGAATTTTCAATTTTTTACTTTCCAATTTTTGATTTCTTAATTTTTAGTTTTTCGACTTTCCATTTTTCGATTTGTTAAATATTTGATTCCTGGAATTTTCGATTTCAAAATTTTTCGAAACTTTGAGTTTCGACTTTTCGATTTTTCATTTTTCGAATCTTCACTTATTATTTATTTTTCCATTCTTTAGATTTTTAAACTTTTCAATTTTTTTACTTTTCGAATTTCCGATTTCTCGATTTTTGGATTTTTCGAATTTTCGATTTTTCACCTTTCAAATTTCCGATTTTTCAATTTTTTAATTCTATACAGATTTTAGACTTCTCAGTATTTTACTCTTCGATTTCTATAGTTCTCGTTTTTCGATTTTCGAATTTTCATTTTCCAAGTATTCGAATCTTTCGAATATTCAAGATTTTTACTTTCCGATTTTTGATTTCTGGATTTTTTAATTTTTCGGATTTTCAGTTCGACTTGCTAAATACATATTTGTTTTTCTATTCTTCGTTTTCTCAATTTTTGAAAATCTCCATTTTAGAATTTTTAGATTTTACATATTTCGAATTTTTGATTTTTCAATTTTTCCATTCTACAGTTTGTAGACTTTCCAATTTTTCTGTGCAATTTTTCATCAACTAGAATTTTCGAGTTTTAGTTCTTTCGATTTTCGATTTTTGGAATATTATTTTCAACGAATTTTCATGTTCCGGCTATTTGAATTTTTCGATTTTCGATTTTTCAAATCTCGACTTCTCGAATTTTCGATTTCACGATTTTCGAACTTCCTTTTCTTGGATTTTGGCTTTTTCGATTTTTCGAAATCTCGAGTTTAGACTTTTCGATTTTTGAATTTTTCCATTCTACAAGTTTTAGACAATTTTTACTTTTCGAACTTTTGATTTCCCGATTTTTGGATTTTTCGATTTTGTTTTGGATTTTGATTTTTTTTTGAAATCTCGAGTTTCAACTTCTTTATTTCTAATCTTTCAAATTACAGATTTTTCAATTTTTTCATTCAACACGTTTCAGAGTTTTCAGTTTTTATTTACCACTTGTTCGATTTTTCGATAATTTGGATTTTTCGACTTTTCCATTTTTCATCTTTCAAATTTCCGAATTTTCAGTTTTTACTTATCGGTTTTTCGATTCTCCCATTCTTCAGTTATTAAACTTTTCAATTTTTTTAAATTTCGATTTCTTTGAAATCTCGATTTTGGAGGTCTCGAATTTTGATTTTCAAATTATCAATTTTTCTCATTTCGATTTTCCAACATCTCGAATTTTCGAATTTAGACCGTACAATGTTTCAATTTTCAATCTCCCGATTTTCAATTGTTTGAATACTCGATTGATCGAATTTTCGAATTTCCGATTTTGAAAAATTTTATTTTTGTAAAAGTTGTCTGAAAATTCTCAGAAAATTCAGGGATGTAGATATCGACGTGATGATTACAAAAATATAGCGTGTTTATGGTCAGCGAGCAATATTTTCGAAATATCCGGTGTGAAATGGTCGAAAATGGGCCAAATTTCATTTTTGAAAAAGTCGTCTAAAAATTTTCAAAAAATTCCACGTGTCGATTCCAAAGTAGTCCTGTTTTTTGTATTACATAATTGTCTATTTCCATGTCAAAATCGAGTGAAACATGTGAAATATGACATTATGCTTCTAAATACGAGCATTTAAAGATGTACCAAAAAAAATTCATTACAAAAAATCAAGTTACTTCTGAACGTTTAGAGTCGACATTCGCTTGACCGCCCGCTGGTCTTAAGATCAAACAAGTTCCCACCATCTTCCGCACCGAACCTACCTGTAAGTGGCCTTATCCACCGTCTGGTGGTGCAAAACGTGGTGCCGATGCGAGAACGTGCCTCGCTCCACGTCCTGCCCCGACAGCCTCACATGAATACCCTCCTTCAACAGCGACCCAAAAGCCATCGCTTCGCCCAGAGCCCAGTCGCAGGTCCTCGCCTCGACCATCTCCATCCTCGACTTCAGGATCCTCTCGATACCCTTGTGGATGACGAACTCGGCGGCGTTGGGCGGCGGCGACGAGAACCTCTTCCCTATGTGGACGAGGGTGTCCTCCTTGACGCCGGTGGTGCCAGCCTTGAGAGGATCCTTCCCTTCGAAGAAGCCCGACCAAGGGCTGTCCAACCAGTCCTTGTACTTGATGTGGGTCTCTTTGCGGGCGCTGTCCAACGCGTCCTCGCAGATCTTCTCGTACTTGCTCTTCACGTCCTTGACTTCGTCGGGGGTTACGACGCCTTCTTTGATCAGGTTTTCGGCGTACTTCTCGAGGGCTGATTTCGTGTTGCGGATCTTGCGGTACATGAGGGGTTGAGTGAACATGGGTTCGTCGATCTCGTTGTGGCCGTTGCGTCGGTAGCACACGATGTCGATGACGACGTCTTTGTGGAACGTGGAGCGCCATTCGGCCGCCATGTTGCACACGTGCATGACGCTCTCGGGGTCATCGGAGTTGACGTGGAAAATAGGCGCGTTGACGACGCGGGCCACATCTGCGGGAGGTATCAATACCCTCGATTAAGCTCCAGGTATGACCCAGAAGACACATAAGAGGCATGGATGTGACAGGTACATACCATGTGTTTCTTTTATTTGATACAACCCCTAAATTTCTTTTATTTCTAAAGATAAACATATAGCTCTTTGAGCAATTTTGTATCATTTTAAAAGATCACTTATGTGAATAAATGACGTGAGTGTCAATTTTTCAAGCTACTAGATTGTCATTAACAAATATGAATATTTCGTCTGTTTTATTGAATAACTTTTTAAGTATGATTTTAGAATATGAGTTGCTTATGACTTTTTACAAAAAATCAATATTTCCATTTATGGAGAAATATACCTAGTGTTCCATAAAAAAAAATAAAATTGACGTCATTTCCAGTTCTACCGGAAGTTATAATAAAAATGTGAGGTTGCCATCACATAGTTCCTTTAAAATAATACAAATTTGCTCAAAGAACTATAGGTTTTTCTTAAAAATAAAAGAGTTACAGGGGTTGTATCAAATAAAAGAGACACCCTGTACAAAAGGACAATAGTATATCGCATGATCATATCTTATCTTTTTTTTTAAAAAATTTATATTTACTTACTTAACTTTGGCCAATTTTTTGATATCACGATTTTTCACTTTTCGCCAATTAGACGTAACTAAACGCGCCGTTAAATACGTGACTGGCCTTAATTTTTTCAAAATTTCAATTTCTCGATTTCCAAATTTTTCAATTTTTTGTTTCCTCAATTTTTCAAGTTTTCGAATTTTATTTTTCGTTTCCCCGATTTTTTAATTTTCATTTTTTCGTTTACTCAGTCCTTTTAAGTTTTCAATATTTCGTTTTTTCAATTTTTGCAGTTTTCGTTTCTTCAATTTTTCAAGTTCTTTATTTCCAATTTTTAAATTTTTCAATACTTTTTCGTTTTCTCATTTTTGACTTTCCAATTTTACAATGTTGCTATTTTAATTTTTTTTATCCGAAAAGTTGAAAAATCGAAACATTGAAAAATCGAAAAGCTAAAAAACCGGAAAAAATTGAAAAATTGCAAATAGAACTGAAGCAACGAAAAATAGGAAAATCCAAAATTGTAAAATGGAAAAATGGTGGAAAGTCAAAATTGTAAAGTTGAAAAACTATAATACTGAATGATTGAACTGAAGATAAATTTTTCTATTTTTCCAATTCTCGGTGTTTTGGTTTCATAATTTTGCGTTTTCGCACTTTTTTCAAATTTTCAATTTCCCAATTTACAAGTTTTTCAATTTTTCGATATTATAATTTTGTATTTTTCAATTTTTCAGTTTCCTCAATTTTTCAAGTTTTATTATTCATTTTCTCGATTTTATATCGCGATTTTTCGTTTATTCAACTCTTGAAAGTTTCAATTTTTGAATTTCTCAAATACCAGATTTTCCGATTTTTTTTTATTTTCAATATTTCGATTTTCCAATACATGTTTCGTTTTTTCGATTTTGTAGATTTTCGATTTTTGAATTTCCCAATTTTTAATCATTTGATTTGTAATTTTTCAAGTTCTTCATTACTAATTTTTAGATTTTTCATTTTTCCTTATAAACCATTTCGTTTAATGATTTTCGATATTTTCATTCTATAATTTTGCAATTTTTCCATTTTTTTTTTTCGAAACAGTTGAAAAATCGAAAAACTAAAAACCGGAAAATTACAAAAGATTGAAAAAGCGAAAAAACTAAAAACTGCGAAATTGTAAAGTGGAAAAATTTTACAATCGTCAAAATTGTAAAGGTGAAAAACTGTAATACTGAAACATGGAACTGAAAAAAAGTTTTCAATTTTTCCATTTTTCAGTGTTTTGGTGTCCTAATTTTCCGCTTTCGCAATTTTAATTTTTTCAAATTTTCAATTTCTCAATTTCCTAATTTTTCAATTTTTCGATTTTTCAGTTTCCTCAATTTTTCAAGTTTTATTTTTCATATTCCCGATTTTTTTTTCATTTTGTCAATTTTACGAGTATATCACGATTTTTCGTTTTTTCATTTCCTTTTTTTTTCATGTTTCTTTCGATTTTATAGTTTTTCGTATATTTAATTCTTCAAATTTTCAATTTTTGAATTTCCCAAATATCAGGTTTTCCAACTTTTTTTATTTTGTAGTTTTTCGATTTTTGAGTTTCTCTATTTTTATTTATTCGATTTGTAAATTTTTCAAGTTCTCTATTACTAATTTTTAGATTTTTCAATGTTTTCCCTCTATACTTTTTCGTTTAATGATTTTTGATTCTTCAATTCTACAATTTTGAAATTTTGCCCTTTTTTTTTTCGAAACAGTTGAAAAATCGAAAAAAAGGAAAACTGCAAAATCGAAAAAGCGGAAAATCGAAAAATAAAAAAATCCAAAAATTGTAAAATTGTAGAATCGTCAAAATTGTAAAGTGGAAAAACTAACATTAAAAGATTGAAAAATTGAATTTTAATTTTTCAATTTTTCCATTTTTCAATGTTTCGGGATCATTTTTCGTCTTCCGAACTTTTATTTTTTCAAATTTTCAATTTCTCGATTTCCAAATTTTTCAAGTTTTATTTTTCATTGTCCCGATTTTTTAAAGTTTCATTTTCTGTATTTTATATAACAATTTTTCGTTTTTTATTTCTTTTATTTTTTCAATGTTTTTTTCAATTTCATAATTTTTTTTTACTCAAGTCTTCAAATTTTCAATGTTTGATATTTCAATTCCTCGATTTTCCAATTTTTTAATTACTCGATTTTGCAATTTATGAATTTCTCAATTATTAGATTTTCCGATTTTTTTAATTCATCATTGATTTTTTAATTTTACAATTTTGCAATTTTCCATTTTTTATTCGAAAAGTTGAAAAATCGAAAAGCTAAAAAACCGGAAAACTGAAAAATTGCAAATAGAAGAACTGAAGCAACGAAACATAGAAACATCGAAAAACTAAAAATCGAAGAATTAGAAAGAAGAAAAAACGAAAAATTTTTCAGTGTTTTGGTTTCATAATTTTCCGTTTTCGCACTTTCGTCTTTTCAAATTTTCAATTTCTCAATTTACAAAATTTTCAATTTTTCGTTTCTTAAATTTTTCGATTTGCAATTTTTTGATATTATAATTTTGTACTTTCCGAATGTTTCAGTTTCCTCAATTTTTCAAGTTTTATTTTTCATTTTCTCGATTTTAAATCGCGATTTTTCGTTTATTCAATTCTTCAAATTTTTAATTTTTGAATTTCTCAAATACCAGATTTTCCGATTTTTTTTTAATTTTCAATATTTCGATTTTACAATACATGTTTCGTTTTTTCGATTTTGTAGTTTTTCAAGTTCTTCATTACTAATTTTTAGATTTTTCAGTTTTCCTTCTAAACTTTTTCGTTTAATTAATTTAATTGGAAACTAGAAATCGAGAAACTTAAAAATCGAAAAATTGGAAAGAAAAAAAAACGAATCGAATTGAAAAATTGGAAAAAAATTGCGAAATCGAAAAAGCGGAAAACCGAAAAATTGTAAATCGAAGGCCTGAAGGAACTAAAAATCGGAACATTGAAAAACTAAAAATCGCGAAACTTAAAAAAATAAAAATCGAAAAATAAAAAAATCCAAAAATTGAATTTTAATTTTTTCAAATTTTCAATTTCTTGATTTCCAAATTTTTCAATTTTTATTTTTCAGTTTCTCAATTTTTAATTTTTCAAGATTTATTTTTCATTTTCCCGATTTTTTTAAGTTTTATTTTCTGGATTTTATATCACAATTTTTCGTTTTTTCATTTCTTTTACTTTTTGAATGTTTCCTTTAATTTGATCATTTTTCTTTTACTCAATTCTTCAAATTCTCAATGTTTGATTTTTTAATTTCTTGATTTTCCAATTTTTTTAATTCATCATCGATTTTTTAATTTTACAATTTTGCAATTTTTCATTTTTTATTCGAAAAGTTGAAAAATCGAAACATTGAAAAATCGAAAAGCTAAAAAAATATTTTTCATTTTCTCGATTTTAAATCGCGATTTTTCGATTATTCAATTCTTCAAGTTTTCAATTTTTGAATTTCTCAAATACCAGATTTTCCGATTTTTTTTAATTTTCAATATTTCGATTTTACACTACATTTTTTCAATTTTTCAAGTTCTTCATTACTAATTTTTAGATTTTTCAGTTTTCCTTCTAGACTTTTTCGTTTAATGATTTTTTGATTTTTTTAATTCTATAATTTTGCAATTTTTCCATTTTTTTAATTCGAAACAGTTGAAAAATCGAAAAACCAAAAAACCGGAAAAACACGAAAAATTGAAAAACCGAGAAAACGAAAAACTGCAAAATGGAAAAAGCGGAAAATCGAGAAACTTAAAAATCGAAAAATTGGAAAGAAGAAACAACGAATCCAATCGAAAAATTGGAAAATCCAAAATTGTAAGGTGGAAAAATTGTAGAATCCTCAAAAGTGAACAACTGTAATACTGAAACATTGAACTGAAATAAAATTTTTCAATTTTTCCATTTTTCAGAATTTTCCGTTTTCGCAACTTTAATTTTTTCAAATTTTCAATTTCTCAATTTGCAAATTTTTTTCAATTTTTTTGTTTCTTCAATTTTTCGATTTTTCAGTTTCCTCAAATTTTTAAGTTTTATTTTTCATATTCCCGATTTTTTAATTTTCATTTCCTTTTTTTTCTTTCGATTTTATAATTTTCCGTTTATTCAATTCTTCAAATTTTCAATTTTTGAATTCCCCAAATATCAGGTTTTTCCCATTTTTTGTATTTTCAATATTTGGATTTTGCAATACATATTTCGTTTTTTCAATTTTGTAGTTTTTCGATTTTTGAGTTTCTCAATTTTTAATCATTCGATTTGTAAATTTTTCAAATTCTGCATTACTAATTTTTAGATTTTTCAATGTTTTCCTTCTATACTTTCTCGTTTAATGATTTTTGATTTTTCAATTCTACAATTTTGCAATTTTTCCATATTTTTTTACTCGAAACAGTTGAAAAA